TATGATACCATGTTATGAACCCTCAATATTTTAATGGAGGCGCTTAAAGTGTTTCGAATTTCGTGTATAGTTTTATTTTTGAGTACTCAACAGAAATAGTGTTATTTCATGCTAATATATTATAATCTTATGAATTATATAAAAAATCATGAAATTAAAATAATTTGTGTGTATTTGTAGACTGAATTAAAAATAAAACACTTTAAAAACGGATAGGTTCTATTTTAAAATTGATAAATATGCATTCCTTTATTTTCTGTTATGCAATTTTTAAGTACGAAAAGAAAATTAAATTATGTTTATAAGTAATCACTGAGACTGACGTTTGATCTGTGGCCTACCGCCTGCATGATAAAGATTTCAGAAATCGTTTGTATTTTTTAAGTGATTTTTTGTTGTTTGTACAATATATTATATTATATAATTTATTTGCAACCAACATTTACATGCATAACGTTTTTGAACATTTTTTGCAAACAAATACATCAACATTTACCGCCCATTACACTGTACTTTAATACGAACAAATAATGAGCTGGATTTTCGACTACATTGCGGGTCATATTATTCATATTTCTTAGAGTTGCATGGTTCAGTCATAAAATATCATATTATAAACGAAGTGTATATAATCGTTCACAGTCCTTTGCATTATAATCTAACTTATATAATATAAAGCAATACTGACTTAACTAGTGCATTAGTATTGCTTGTTTTATAACACATAGATATTTTAAATTTATAAGTTATAACTAATTAAATATACTGCTTTGATCTGTAGCTTTAACAATAGTTTACTGAAAATCGTGTTTCTTCTTTGTTGCCAAGATGGCAAGATATAACTTATCAGGATATTTCACGAATATGTTGATTATTATACCCAGAAAATTCACACTCCAAACTTTGAATATACAAAACTACAAAACACTGCCCAAGTCTCAAGTTTTTTAATCAAAAGTGGTTATAATATAGTAAAATCATACGATTTCATTTCAAAAGCTGCAGTCGTCATTGTAATTTTTCAAAAATCAAACATAGCAACTAAACATAATATAAACGCGACAAAAACATGCCACCTGCAATATTGTACTTGAAATTAATTAAAAAGTTTTGCAATTCTCCGGTTTTTGTTAAAATACTTGTCATGTTTTTCTAAGAACACTGGTTTCAGCAAAAATATCAAAAATGATTTTCTGCTATTAACGGATTCATAAAAGGTCTCGTCACGTCATGGAAATATTATAATATGTTAAATCCATCATTGTGACAATAACCTAAATTTTGACTGTTCAATTTATAAAAACATGGACTTAATTGATTTTGTAGTTTAATTTCATTAGGGTCTACCAATTAAAAAAAAGTAATTATACCATTAATGATATAAACTTTTATTAAATTTATTGATATGAGGCATGTTAAATTTGTATCATAAATATATGTTTCTAAATAATAATTAATAGCTAGTTCTCGATATTGAGTGTTGCCTGTTGGTAATATTATTATAATATAAAAAAGTTAGTAGGAACTGAGAAAAAAAAATACAATAATTCGATATCGGTATACAACAATAATTCTCACCACATATTATAACAAACGATATTATGGGAAGCGCAGAAGGATGAATTCTCGTAGCTACGAGCTATCAATACCGTCACAAATTAACAACATTTAAAATAAATCTTTTTATGACATAAAATAATGTATTAGAATAAATTATAAGTACAAATAAAATAGTTTATAGATCTAGAGTAAAATAAATAGTTTTGCCATACAAATTACTCAAACACGAGAAATAAAACGTTCCTGTTCAGTTTAAGACAACAATTTTGTTGAAATCGTAAAATTATTGGAAAGTTTTTTTTCTTACTCTGTTAAATAAACAAGTATTCACTATCTATAAATAAATATCAGTTAAACGTAATTAATACTTTAAAGTAATTGCACTAAATTTAGAAAACAATAACTTTACATTAACTGTCCTATTGTTATTTTTATAATGTAATCATAATATATTTATTAAAATCAAGTATGTGGATGCAAAAAAAAAAAAGGTCCATGGTGTTTTCAAATGTACTTTACTGTAAAACAAATAGTAACATTTTTCACTGTTAAATTTATACGGAAAAAAATTATGTTAGAAATCACAAACCTACGATGATGGGTACTTCTTTGAAAAAAAAAGATTATAAATTCTTGTTAAACTTAATGCAGTAAACTAATAAAAAAAATAAAATTTATGATACAGTAATAAATAACTGAATTGAACTAGATATCATATTTGTTTTGGTTTTTACAAAAAGACCAGTGGATATTATTATGTTAATGTTTATAATTATATCATATACTGAAAATATGATATAATAATTATATTGCTATGTATAAAAATCAAAATATTTGAAGTAGATGCTTGAAGACACAATTTTAGATTTGAGAAGTGTTTTTTTTTTTTTTTTTGTTTATTTTCTAGGTTAGGTAAGGTAGAAAAAATCGAATCATTAAGTTTCTAATTTTGCTGGAACATTTTTGTCCTATAATTTTCCATTTGTTTTTAGTTTAATAAGTGTTAAAATATCTCTCATATTTGCATGAAAATTCGTTTTTACGTTGTTATCAGTAAAATAGAGGTAGATTCATTCGTTAAGTAATACATTTCATTAACTGCAGTTACTTTGTGTCGATAAATTTATCAGTTTCTCATACGAATGTAGAAACACATTTTTTTATTTAACACGAAAAGTTAATTTTTATTTTTAAAAATATAAATATTACAAGTGGTATTTTTCACATTCACATAATAAAATATATTTAAGCTCACTAGTCTGCTGTAGACAAGATATTTTTGTATCACAATTTAATATACCTAATAAAAACACATATATTAAAATAACTGCAGTGATAAATTATTTATATCAACAAAACGTATCACGAAATATTAGAATCGTTTTTCATAAACAATTATATATCATTGAATTTAAATTTAACTCACCCATAATAGTGATCCACTTGACATCTAATTTACAGTTAAGTGGTTCCTACTTGTCTAATTTTTTTTATATAACTATTAAAGCATTTTATTAAACTATAAGTGTTTCGGTAGACTAACTACATTTTCGTTAAAAAACCATTGCCCTTATTATATTAATATATACGAATTATATATATATCTATAATACGTAATATATATTTATATATAAATTCATACATTATACATGTATGCATATTTATATAATGTATTGTTGATTATTGTAATTAACTTTTGACTTAATCCACCAAACTAAATATCGGTATGAGTAGATTTGCGGTACGAATCTAAAATAGCTTAAAATTAATTTAAATGTTTTTAAAATGTAATTTTGTATAGGTACTACATAGATTTTGATAATAATTTATACCTATACGTAAAAGTCTTAGATCGCCACTAGAATTTTGTTTTGTATTATTACAAAATAATTAAAACTGTAATTCATTGTTTATAATATTTGAATTTTGTTAATGACAATGCCATTAATTTGCTTTACCTTGGCTATATTATAAAAATATAAATAATTATTAAATTTTCATGATTTTGAATAATATTGTCAACATTTAAACTGGCTCATAAAAAAAAAAAAAATATTTGTTTTTCATTTTTCCTAATTATTAAGTAAAATACTTAAGAAATTGTTTACTTTTTTACATCTCAAAGCATTAATAACGTATATATACTGTTCTACTAGAAATATAATTATTTAATACGACTTAAATATGATATTTCACGTATTATCCCCACTCATAGAGCGCATTAATTGTCGTAAGTTAGAATATCATGAACGGTTTGCTGTCTGTGTATGATATAGGTAACAATCAAAATAATATATTATAATATCATTTTGTTTTCTAGTTTTCAAGTTTTGTAACGTTTACCAGTAAAATGGTTTGCATTAAATATCATCGCAACCCGTACGACTCGCGATACTACTAGTACACGTTATAGTTAGATAAAACAATTGCTCTCATACATCACTTAATATATTATATTATATAATATATTCTATGGTTAAGTGCTAATAGCGTGTCGCCAAATAACTAACTTTGACTCGCTGAAGTGTGCGCAATCGTTTAACGGTACACACACTTACACACTATTATTATATATATATATATATATCGTAGAAATTTGAAACGTACTGAAGAGTTAAGTTCTTTGATTTTGGCGTATTGCGAAGCTACTTACAAAATGTCAACATATTATACATACCAGATACTGTAGAATCACTGTCTCTCGCTCCATTTCTCTGTCTTTATCTTTCTCTCTCTCTATCTCTCTCTCTTTCTTTCTTTCTTCAGTCTGTAATTAAACACACATACTAAAATACCACGTTGAGTAATAAATGGTTTGTTCCTTGTAAAATATGTACACGTACTTATGTCACGCCGCAATATATATACACGGCGATAACACCTAATTATCAGCAGGTTAGGAGTGCGGGTGTGGTACCTTTCATCTTATAAGTATATATACGTTAAGTCGAATGGGATGTTACGGAATATAGCGGGTCATGATTTAAATCCATTATAATATAAAATAAATATTGTATTATTATAAAATAGTTATATTGGCGCATTTTTCGGTCAGTATCGCTATGCCATTTAATAGCAATAACAATTATTATAATATATACATATATTATAATATCAAACATCATAATATAGTGTTATTATAACTATAGTGATATAGCATTAATATTGTTAATGATTGGTGAAATTACATGTGAGAAGTGGTTGTTGACAAGGTAATATCCAGAACATACCAGGAAGTTCAAAATTACACCAAAAATCAGATTTATTATTCTCGAGTCAGAGTTACATCACTTTTACCACGGTTTTACATTTTATGTCAATAATAAGTGTTGTATTCTTTAAGTATCAAATAAAATATTATAAATTAAAATAAAACATACACATGCATAATGCGACATTATCATTGATCAGACTGATTGTTGTTAACGCACGAAACATAGAATGATTGAGGAACGTCATATGCTATTTGATTGTAAAATTCGTATACTCGTATACATATTTTTTTTTTTTTATCGTCAGTTTAATAAATATATATTACAAGAAAGATATTAAAAACAAAAAAAAAAAGGTTTATTTGATAAAATTTACGATGACAGTCATTCATTAACTTTTTTAATTCAATTTTTTTAGTGCATGAGTGGCATGCGTGGCATTATTATTCAACAGTTTTAATGAATTAAATGCACAGCTCTAAATAATTAATACTTATACATTTAAATTTCAAATCATTCTGACGATTCACGTTTTTTGATTATAATAACAATTAACTCGAACATATAGTATACATGTTATGATTGGATTCTTTTTAATATTTTTATTATTTCATCAATATGGTCGGGTATAAAAATATAAAAATGCTGGTATAGAAGAGCATAATAGCATGAAAAAAAAATATGTATATTGTGATATTAAATAATTTTAAAACCTATACTGTAGTTCGTGATCTACTGTTTCTTTAAAATTTTTCGGGTTTTTGACAATGCACGTGAACGGTTTCGTTTATACACTTCTAAAATTGTTAAACATAATCAACGGCATATACCGTCTAGGTAAGAATATGTATCTATAACAAAGGTACTAGTTGAAACATTTGATCGTTCATTTTTCTCAAAAATATGTTCATGGAAAATATAATAAATAAAAGAAGAAGGATAAAAATAGCTATTGTAAAACTAATACATTTTTAGTTATACGTGGTAGAATATAAAACTGAAAAAAAAAACCATCCCGAAAAATATACTTAATTTTAAGTCGGTGACCAAGATTTCGTGAATAAAAGCATTTTCTACTTCACTGCAAAATATCAACACAATATTCTTACGATTATAGAAAAAGAAATTCGAATCGTCATAAATGTATTGACGTCACTGTTATTTAGTGTATACACATCATAAAACGCATTATATATTCCGAATGGAAAAATTATAGTCAATAATAATTTTCCAACAGTAATTTTTTCGACAAATATAACAATTATTGCATTTTTATCACCTTCGGGTACAATAATAATAATAAATAATAATAATTGTTGGACAGTAAATACAATTTTAATTCGAATCTACTGTAATCACTAATTAGAGTTAATCAGATTTGGTTTGAATTTTTATTATTCCAGTTTTTCAATTCAAATACGATTGGGCTAATATAGTAATATATATACATATTTTTAATTTCTAATATGAAAATATATAAATATCGTTATTGATAAAAGAAATATCGTTAATGATTAAATAAACTCAAATAATTATGACACAAAAATATATATACAAAATAGAGAAAATAGACAATGCGTAGCTCTGTATTTTAATAATTTTTGTTATTTAATTAATAATATATATATATATATTTTTTTTAACGATAACAACTCATTATGGTAAATCTTTAAAAAAAAAAAAATACAAGTTTTGAAAATGCGCATTTGTTAATTTTTGAATAAATAATAATATATATTATTTAGATTATAAAGTTTTTTAACGAAAAAGGATTTTAAATTTAAATTTATAAGTACTATCCAGTATCCATATTACAATTTACTTAAAAATTAAATTAAATTCATTTGAAATAGTTTGTAGGTACTAATTATAAATTATAATATATTTTTTTTTTTTGTCGAGAAATATATTATATTATTAAATTGATATCGTAAAAAAACTTAATTATAGCAATATTATAAGCAAAATGTTAGTAAAATGTTATTTTGCAAACCAATTTATTATGCTATAAACGAAACTTACACGTGGTTGATGCAAAACATTTAAAGTCTAATAAAATTAAATATTAAAAAAAAATTTCATTTAATAATGAATGATGCACGGGATTCCCAAATATTAAATTATAAATTTCGATATTATTCTGATCCACTAATGTATTATATAAAATAAGTAAACAATCGACATTATTCCGCAATACATAATATCATACCTATATGTTTTTTAACAATAGCGATCATCGGGCTCAACAATATATTTTCAAGAACCATATAGCTTTTAGATTTTTGACGATGGAACGGATTTTCATTTGCAGGTGCGTGGTCACGATAACGGTGGTTAATGTTATTTAGGATTTCGCGTGGAAAAAAAAAGTGGACGCGAGTCAGTGTGGCAAAAATTAATCGTAGGAAACCCCCTTCAAAGCACTTATCACAATGGTTTACCGGTGCAAATGTGCTTGGAAATATCGTGCGACGTGGGCGCAAAATATTTACAGGTAAGCCCGCTTCAACCATCCCCCGCCAACCGTAGCCCAGACTGTCGAGTGCCGACGCTGCCGTCGCCGGCCGGCGTTTTACGAGAGTGGTCTCCTTTTGCGTAAACGCATTTATCTTGGTCGGACGAAAACAGGCTTTTATGTGGCGCAGACAGGGCTTCGGGGTTCCGATTATTAAATTGAACGTGAAAACTAATCGGAATTTCGCGCTTTTTCCGGATTAAATATATTATATACACGAGAGAAGAAAAACGATTTTTGTGCCACGCGCGTTATCGTACCGACCGACATCTCTCAATTTAACACCAGAGATGCATCATGCAAATATTTTTTGTATTAAAAAGTTAAGGACGCCTAACTAAAGCGCGCTGATTTTTTGAACTATTGCAACAAAACAAAATAGTCTATTGAATCACGAATAATAAAATGATTGTATGGACACTGGACAGCCATGGTTAAGAAATTTTTCTTAATTGTTTATTCGGTTATGAAATATTGGTTTGAAAAAATTGTATGATAAATAGTAATAAGATATTCTTAAATTTTATAAATAATGCACGTAATGATGAAATACACCTTACAGTCAATTACATAAACTCGAGTCCTAATTAAATTATCTTTCGACGAAACTACTAAATATTATTGGATATTATTCATCTCGTTATCTGTTACTGTAAAAAAAAATAATTAAAATAATTGAATAACGTATATTATATTTTCCTATTAAATTGTTATTTAAAATGTTCAGTATTTAAATTGATTTATGCTGAAAGATTTTAAATGGATATTAAGCACCACTGGTAATAAAACAATTTTCAAATTTATATATTATAAATTCATCCAAGCATCTACAGTAAATATTATCTTATTGCGTGGTTATTAATCATAAATGAGATTCTATAGTAGTGAATAGAGTAAATAGGTGATGGAGATTAGAATTACATACCCAAAAAAAAGATACATTTTTAAATTACATGTTACCTTTTGAAAAATATAGTCCAAATGTATCCAACCGATAACCATGTTCCGTGACTCAAAGGCGTCAATTTATTTTGTACTATCATAATTTTATTTAATTCTATTTTTAAATACACAAAGGTTAGGTTTAATTATTTAACTAATTTGAAAAATTCAAACTGTATTTAATTAACTTCAGGTTAACTTATTTACAACAAACATTTTAATTTCTTTTAGAAAAAAAAAAAAAGAAGATTTATGATACTTTGTAATAATAATTATAAATTTAACGTAAAACATAAAAGTATTTTAAATAGCTATTTGAATGTAATCAAAGTAACATTTACTACCCACATTTGACATTAGCATAATCACGGTGGGTAACAAAAATCAAAGATTTTTAATTTTAATTTGAGTTTAATAGTTTGCAGAATAAATAAAATTCCATTAGATCAAAACGTAAATAATATATTATACGAGTATTTAATATAGATCTTATTTATATTAATAATACTTTGAATTTGGACAAACCATTTTAGAGAGAAGACATGGACAAAGTTCGTGGACAATTATTTTTATAACCGCATACTCGTATGATTCGAATGCATCCTAAAATGAGTTTTTATATAAAAATAAAAAAACATCATAATTTCGTAATGTAGGTGAGTCTGAAGATCTACAACTTTCAAATCTCACCTGTCAAAGCTTAAATTCTAGAAAATCTACATCAAAAACCCAGTGTTTGTTTTTAAAGATGTGTTAACCAATACTGTGCGTCGTATCGTTTGGTTGAGTGGAAGCGAACACTACCGGATCTCACAAAGATAATAATATGATACAATATAATAGTATTAAATTCAATATTAAAATTCAGGTGCATAAACAATGTTGTGAATCGCGTGCAAAACGAAAACCGCATAAGGCCTGAATGTTCGACTGAGAAATGTGCGATATAATGTTTTTGAACATGACATGCGCATGGATTGTTTAGTATATAAAGTTATTGCTAAACTTTTGAATTGCCTTTCAACCGTAAATATATGTATATATACACGTCCAAAAACTCTCAACAGTGTTTCACTCGTATGGTCTCCGAATAGTGTTTCCGGTTGCGCATTTGTTTCAGGTCCATAAAAAAAATGAATTGTAGCACACAGTCACCAAACCAAAAACACCTATTTTAACTGTTGGTCACATATAGTATTATAACAACAGATATGCTTTATGTATTTATCATACGGAACTCCTTTTCCTCGTGTCAAGACCAAAGTTAATCGCTCGTGATGACCATATAATGTATGAACCTAACGTTTTATAACTGCATAAAGTAATATTGTTTGTAGTTATGAACATTTTGTATCACGCTAGCTTTTATATGAAATATATCTAACGAAATAAAATATAGATATATAGTTTTTAATCAACGTAGAAGTATAATATCAAAACACATAGTTATTATAAGAATTTTACGATAATATTTAACACCAAAAGATCTTCTAAAATTACTATTATACGTATTTTATTAGAGTCTTACTGACACACAATATTATATCCAGTAGCAGCTGTACTCAACAGAACTAACCTGTAGATGTTCGGTTTTGGCTATTTTTATTTAAGTGGTAAGTTCTATTTATTTTAACATTATAATAATTACAGTAAATCCTCTTCTAATGAAACTTTTAAGTAACGGACGAAACACCAAAGACCGAAAGTGTTCAATGGTATTCAGAAGTTTCACTGAATTGAAATTGATTTAACTATCAAACTTTATAACATCGAATTTTCAATCT